CACTGTCGCCAGTTGCAGATACTCAGATGCTCTGTCAAAAAGAGAGAGAGAGGGCGGGAGGAAGATTTATATGGAATAAAAATACCTGAAACAATCTTACTGTGTTTGAGCACTTTAAGATTCAAATCATCACAGAATAATATTGCTTTGGCCAGGACTTCTTATACTTTCCCATCCTCAAAATGAGATCCCATTTAATTATGCTCTTCCATTCATAAATACAGCACCGACCAGCTACAGATGGGTGATAAAATCAAATGAAAACAACCTTAATGGTCTTAATAAGGTGTGGGTTCATCCGCTTCAGTGCTTATTGTTCGCCAAGTTTTAAAACTACTGGAGGGATGAACACCATTCTTCCAAAGGATATTCTCTCTTTTGTGAGTGCATGTGCTGATGATGCTGTTGGAGAACATTGTCTGACTTGTCAGTCCGAAATCCCCCAATGATGTTGACCTGGGTTGGGTTCTGTTGACGTAGAGCATGTTTATTGTTATGCTCCAAAATACCTAGACAAATTCCTTGTATATGAAAACCTACTTGGAAAAAACCCCTGTTTCTGATTCTGATTGATGTTCAGTGACCCTTATTGATGGAGGCATGTGCATCAATTCTGTCACCCGTTTATATTGCACGTAGCATATACAGCATTTAAAGGTAGCATTGAAAAGTTGGAGTGGTTGAAAGCACTATGGAACAAATCTTTGGATCCCCAGTCTGTTCATCCCGTACACATACAGTACATCCTTGTACATGTGCAGGCTACACAATACAAACCTGGTTTAAACACCCCTCCACTGATCAACAAGCTGCTGAAATGCACTAAGAAATGCAGCAACGCGTCAGCAAAGGTAGGGAAGAAGAAGGCTGCTGGCATGTAAACATGGATGTAAACAATGCAGGTGTCATAATGTTAAAAATGTGTACATGTTTTATGAGAATGGAAATTAATTCAACAGATTAGAAAGGCCTCACATTGAGTGTTTTGGCTGTGTCTTTGTTTTAATATTATTAAGCTGTAATCATAGATATTATTTTCAAACTGGGCAAATAAACCTGCAATCATATTTCTGACTTGCAAAGCAAACAAGAAATGTCTCAGTCTCACTCTACATGTGTGTAGATCCACATCTAAGAGCGCAGTACGGTTTGATCTTAATCACAAGTGACAATCAATCACAATTAATCAGACATCTTATGGATAGGTCAAGCATCACCAAAGTTCACTTTTCTTTAATATTTAAAATATACAATTGTAACGGACATATACCCTACACACACACACACACACACACACACACACACACACACACACACACAAACACACACACAAGTTCATAAGGGTATACTAGTCATGTACAAATCACTACAAGCTGATATGCTCATTTTGAGGCTGTTTATCCAACATTAATAGGACATTTATTTTCTGTTTCCTCTTCTCTTCATCAATTGGATGAGTCGAATGCCCCTCACAAAGGTGACCAGCATTGTTTAGTAGCGGGAGAGAGAAAAGAAATGTGGAGGATGATGAATAATAGCCCAGCTGGGCGCGTTAGCTGCAATTAGCCCTTCTGAAGTCCCACAATTATCCAGGGAAATGCTGACACTCACAATGCCACAATGCTACCGCTGAATCAATACATAATTGTAATAATTATCATCCTGGTGTCATTTGTGGACACGTCCGACACGTGCAGAAAAGAAGATTGAATTGGAAAAACACAGAGGGATGAATGGCAGAGAGATATTGCCTCTTCAACTGCATCATTGCTAACAAAAGGTAGCCTCAATACCTCGTATAAGCAATGATGGGGGTCAACTCAGTGACAATGAGTCAGCCTGACTATGTGGCCAGAAAGTACTTCAAAACCCCTCTACAGCCCAGTTACTGAACACACCAAGAGTCGAGTAGAAGAGGGTGCATGTCACATTCTGCTAAACCTTGAAGTCAAAGCATTTATGAAGGTAAAAACTTTCAAGTCTCACTAAGAAGTAGGGTCTCCTGATTTTATGTATGTACATGGCCAATAGGATTTTCTATATGCCCTATATGTTGTATACAAAAATCATTAAACAGGACAGTTATTCTTGCAAGAAGGAGACAGGAATTGAAACACAAACAGGTTATGCTTCAAGTTGCTGCTCAAGGGTTCGTCTCTGAGTCTCTGATATATATGCTGAGGATAACACATAAGTGCGTTGGAACAGAATGATTTGCATAAAGTCTGGACATCGTTTGGACCCGTTTCTTTGATAATTCATTCTGTCAAGGGTCATCTTATCCTAATCTCGGAAGACGTCACAGTTGCAAATCAGCCTACATATATACTGACGTGAACACAACATATTTACTATCTTCCCTTGACGCCCGGTCACAAGTAAACAAAGAGATGAGATAGCCATTAAGAAAGACAACTAAGACACAACACAGCTGAGAAAGCTTGTGTGACGATTGCTTCACACAAGGACACAGACTCAACTGCCTAGATTACAGTGGCTAAACAAAAACATTATTTAAGTTCTTCCAACAATAATTCGCAAAAATATAACATTTCAATTTCAAATGTAGGGTAATAGTAGAAATTGCTCGTAGCAAGGCTGAGGCAGCCAAGAAGTTTCCTCATCAGTCCTTACTTCTGTACTTGGACAGTGTCTTAAACATTGTCCTATTCAAAGCTCATGTCATCTGAGCTAGTTTTTGTCATTCTCATGTTCATCTCATTTGTCATCAAAACCCCAAATATCAAAGGAAGTTAATGGTAGCAACATTAACTGATAATCAAAAAACAAACCCACTCAAGTCAATTGTTGTGCATAAAGTTCAGGGATTGTTACACCGCTACTAATGAATCTCACTGTGGAGAGTAAGCTAATTCAAACAAACTTTTACATCATTGTGTTTTTATTGATTCAACAGTGAGACAGAGATCTTTAGCGATAACCTTGTAGAGGAAAACATTAGAAAACAATGATTTTTAGTATTTTGGACACCAGATCTTAGTTAGAAAGAAATAGTTTGAAGAGTAGCAGGGAGTTGAGAGTTTAATTGAATGAAATGAAATAATTAGAGAGTGAAATATCAAGTAGAATTTGGTTTGACTTTTAAGCATGGCTTATAGCTTTTACAATTTAAAGGTCCTTATTCCTTATGGAATAGTTATGATTTACCAGCATAATGTGGGACACAAGTCTGCTGATTACAGCCAGCTGGGTTGTCTGGGTGACGGTGTCTGATGTTAAGTACTGAAACACCTGATGACCCCCAATCCATCACTGACAATGAGTCCAGGTTAAACCACAAGGTGTACCAAAGAACTAATATTTTGAATTGTCACCTGGACATGCACTGACTCACGACACTAGACTGCCCCTCTCCAGAAGATCAGGAAAGCTTTCTTTCTGAGCGATTTCCACTTACCAGTAATAAACTGGGCTGACACAGGAAAGCAGACATTTGGAGGAAGGAGAATGAGTGGTTGAAGTTTATCTTGATCGTGATTCAACATGTAGTTCTGCATGTCCTCCCTCAGATAGACAAAAATCTGGTTGAAGTTGAATCAACCTGTGTTGTGTACAATCTTTAAGTCTCTTGTGTGATGTATTCTTTTTTCCTGGACTCACTTAGTAGATATTCAATTTTGTAACAAAGACATTGTTTGTTTTTTTTGGTTAGGAATGCATTTGAAATGGATAGTGTTTTCTGGCTGTTTTAACATGTCTTATTTCAATCATTTGTAAATTATTATGGCAGCAAATTCAACAACTTCATCAACCAGAGGAGTCATTTGTAAAAATATGAATTGCTTTAAAAAGATATTAGACCGCTTGAAAGACATAGATGGAACAAACCATAAAATTGATAATTATTCCTCTAAATAAATGTAAATCTTCTGCCTGATGTTCTTTTATGTCACACCACTTTCATAAAAAGGGTAAGATAAAAAAAAAACACAACCATTTCTAAAGGGTAAATATACCCATTTACTCTGTTTCCATGCAGAAAACAGGCTTAAACAAGGTGGAAAGGTGGTTTCTATCTCATTGCCTGTTTGGATTATCATTCTTTCTTCATACTCACTCTGTCGTCCCCCAATGAAGAACGGAGCCGTCTGTGCCCGGGGCTACGTCAGTGCTCTTTAGCATTTTCAGCCTCTGTGTTCCTGCTGGGGGAAGAGTCTGGGGCCCATTTGCCTTCTCTGAACCCATCAAGATCGGTGCTGTGGCAGCATGATCTCAATGTGGCAGCATGGGACCAGAAATCAACAGATAATTATTTTATCTCTGCTCGCCAGTGGGCACTGTAGATCAAGTCCTCAGACAAACAACAAATTCACTTGATGTGGTTGTTGCTGAAGAAGGACACAGAGTGGCCCAAACAACAAAACAATGTCGAGGTCTCTTGTCCCTTTCAAATCTAATTTGTGAAGTGCTGTGGAGATTGGATTGAGCTGATAAAGTGACTTAATTTTCCACAGCTGACTTTTCTCTGGTATAACCTTCATGTAAAGCCCTGAGGTCAAAGCTGTAATTATTGTCTGAAGATGACGAGTGTATCCAACTTCACTTTATGTAAATGTTAATCATATACACATACAATATCATAACATGAATTAAGAAAAATAACGTATTGTTATTTAATCTATACTAAACTGTATCAAGAACTTACGCAGGTTAACTTATTAATTTTATTTTATAAATAATAAAATATATAAAAATCATAATGTAGCCTACTTGAGGTTGTTAATTACAAATATTGTAAATTCAACACCACTAACTGTGACTAACAAGAGGAAAATGCTTCAACTTAAATCCTGTGTGTGTGTGTGTGAAGGCTTTCCATAAGGTTTACTGTATATAGATGGCTCCAGGTTGAGATGTGTCTGATTGATTAGGCTACAGCGGGATTTGCGTGTTTGACGTCAGAAACTGCAAACAAATGACCCCATAAAAAGAGGGACCCTGCCTGAAAAAAACGGAAAAGCTCTGAGCGCACAGCTGAGCCTGAGAGGTCTAGGGATCGCCACAACTACACTGCCACTTCAGTCAGTCGCACTTCGACACCCGCACAAAGACGATATAGAAGACTTCTGCGCCTGAAGATGCCCCTTTCAAGCAGCTCCACATCCTCCACAAAGAGCATCCGCAGAGCAGCATCCGAGTTGGAGAGGTCTGACTCCATCACGGTAAGAAATAAAACTAAACTTGAAATGATAGGTATAAATCCGACGTATTTTTAGATTAAGTTATAATGAACAATCTGCAATTGTGTTTCGGGTGATATGTCTAAATTATATCCAGAGAACCACCAACAACTGTCATATTGCGCGCGGAGCGCTTGCTGAGGTGACCATTACGCAGCGGTGATGCCTGATGCACAAAATTCAAAAAGAAAAAAAACATGTTACAATTAACAGCTTAAATCAGCTAAAATGTGTGATATGGCAGCTACTCAGTCTTAGCTGTGTCGTAGGTTTACCTTGACTGCATTGCTGTTCTAATGCGCATTTGGAGATGTAAGGCACTCCCATCAAATATCCAAAGAGATATCCAAAAGGTAAGAACATCTAAAAGCAGTTTTCCCGCTTTGCTGTTGTGTCTGCGTGCTCTGACAGTTAAATTAAAACACAAGCAGTACACGCAAGACTTTGGTTTCTCTTTTGGAACAGTCTCCAAGATTCCTCGGTCGACGGCAAAGCTTGATTGAGGACGCGCGCAAAGAGAGGGAAGCCGCCGCTGCAGCGGCAGATGCTGCAGAGGCCAGTGAGCAGATAGTGTTTGAGGAGGACAACGGAAAAGCGCTGCTCAACCTTTTCTTCACTTTGAGAAACTCCAAGACACCTGCACTGTCGCGGACACTCAAGGTTTTTGAGGTATACGTGTTAGGTTACAATAATGTATTTGTTTATTCGAAAGCAACACTTTTGGCAAAAAGGGGTGTAGAGGGTATAACTCAAGCACGCTCTATTAAGAATTGATACGGTCTAACTCATAATTGAATAAATGGTTAAAAATAATTTACTAATGCTCTAAATGTCAGTTAATGAGATCATCCATTAGTCCTATTTTTTGAGTTGCTGTGAAACTAATCTAAATGGGTGGTGATTCTTGTCTTCTTGGAGAAAATGCAGTTTTCAAATTCACAAGTTAATCTGCATATGGGTTTCTTACTCTCTGAAAAGCCATCAAGTCTGTAATAAATGTTAATAAATCAAGATGTTCAGATGTTCTGTAGCCCTTTTTCCATGAGGTAAGTACTCAATTCGATGTAGTCTGTTTATACAGAATATAAAAAAGTAGCATAACCTCTTTTGGGGGCGGTGACTATTAGGAAGCATAACCAAATTGAAAAATGTTATTTTCAAATCCTCTCAATTTTATGTTTGATATTTCAGTACTAGTATTGTATGTGTTAAAACAATATTTTTTTTGATTTTGTTTAGCTTACCATTCTAGAAAATTGTGCATATTTTTACTTTGTCACGCAGCTACTAACCATGTCAGAGGTGCCTCACTGCACATTTCCCAAAGACTGTTCAACATTTAATATGGACATGCTTGTCTGAAATACTGTGCCACATAATTCTCATCCGGCACCGCAGCAGGAGTTACATTTCAGTGTGTTAACTGTCTTTCAGACATTTGAAGCTAAGATTCAACATTTGGAGACGCGACCATGTCTTAAGCTCAAGGACAGCCTGGAGTACTTTGTTCGCTGTGAGGTGCACCTCTCAGATGTTAGTACGCTCATCAGCTCCATCAAGAGGAATGCAGAGGATGTTAAAACCACCAGAGAAGTCAAATGTAACCGCCTTTTGCTGCTTTTAGAAAACAACATTTCAAACATATTCAATATTTTTTAGAAGCAATCAAGAAAAAAGAAACGGCACTGAACTGAACTTGGTCATCTGTTTCCTTTTCCCTGTAGTTCATTGGTTCCCAAAGAAAATAGCAGATTTGGACAAATGTCATCATCTGGTCACGAAATTTGATCCAGACTTGGACCAAGACCATCCTGTAAGTCATTACTTTTCCAGTAGTGTGTTTAAGGGGAATTGTCAATATTAGGCTGGTTATGTTGTTGGAACAATATTTAATGACACAGAAAATGTGATCAGTGTTTGATATATTTGATTTGAAAAGGGCTTCACAGACCCTGCTTACAGACAGAGGAGGAAAATGATTGGAGACATCGCCTTCAGATACAGACAGTGAGATACAGTCTTTTACCCGAATGGAGCACAGGCCATCCATAATAAAAAACAATAAACACTAACAGTTGATTATTCCTGATACATGTGTACATGTTTGTCCACAGTGGGCAGTTGATTCCGAGAGTGGAATACACAGAGGAGGAGATCGGCACATGGTAAGGGCATGCTCATTTAAAACTGCAGTTAGAATGTGAAACTTAGACCACCAAGCACAACATCTAATTTTACACTGGAAACAAATCGTCGATTGTTTTTTCAAACGAGCACTTTACCTCCCTGCTGTTTCAATATCAGAGCATCGTTGTGTCCATTCACCCCCATTGAGCCAGTATCATCTTGTTTCTCAGACAGCTGCATATGATTTGTCTTTCATGGGTATTTTGGGTGAATAAGTTACAGATGGAGGGCGCTATTGAAGCAGTCTAGACACAAAATGTATCAGGGAGCTGAGAACATGTGATTTGACACATCCAAAGATTTATGACCCCATAAAAACATCATCCATAAATAATAATACATTTATGATAAATATACAGTACATGTTCAACAAAAAGTCAAACCAAAGTGCTTTACGTAACTTAAAAAAGCATTACAAAATAATACAAATAAATATAAAATAAAAGAATGGCTACATTTAAATATCCAATTAAAGAGGACAATACAATTACTGTACTTTAAGATAGTTAAACTAGATTATTCTTAGGGTATTCCATACTGTTTTATGTTTGAGAAGCTTTTGCTTGAAGAAAATAAATCTGAATTATGTTATTATATCCCTAATTAGGAGGGAAGTCTACTCAACTCTGAGAGACCTGTATATCACCCATGCCTGCAGTGAATACCTCGAGTCCCTCCGTCTGCTGGAAAGGTATTGTGGGTATAGTCCAGACAACATTCCCCAGCTGGAAGACGTGTCATGCTTCATCAAAGGTAAAAATGGGATACCAAACGCTGAAGAAATGTTTAGTCAATACACCCTCCCTTGATTCTCTCTTTGTGTCTCTTTATCTCCCAACTCCTGAACACATACACACACACACACACACACACACACACACTCACACACACACACTCACACACACAGAGCGTACAGGGTTCCTGCTGCGTCCAGTGGCAGGTCTGCTCTCAGCCAGAGATTTTCTGGCCAGTTTGGCATTCCGGGTGTTCCAGTGCACCCAGTACATCCGTCACGCTTCCTCCCCCATGCACTCCCCAGAACCGTGAGTATGACTGCGGCTCCTCTCCTCCTGCTCATCGCATCACATCCCATCACACACTTTGTCATTTTGCCATATATGTGCTATCAATGGACCTCCATAAGCCTCCTGCCCTTCGATCACTGCTGTTTCTTGGCTTTTTCCTCACTCTGTCTTTTAATTCAGCTGAATGGAACTATATTGGAATGGCATTTTGATCAAAAGCATGTTGCCAAAGTATGCGCACAAACAAACTGACAGCACAACATATACAAATAACTTGTGAATAAAAAAGCAAAACAACAAAGAGCATAGAATGAAACAACCAGAAATGTAGATCAAGTTAGAACTAAACTTTGATTTAGAAAAAGATTGACAGCAAAAATCAATTAGTTTTAATATATATGAATTCAAATTAAAAAGCTATCCTATGTAGAAGTAGGTATATTTATCTTCTGGTTATCTGTTTTCAGTTTAAATAAGCTCACATTTTGAGGGAAAAAAGTAAAGTCTGGATGTTTGTTGCTATTCAGTTTCTGTTCAGTCCGAAGAAAACTCAATTCTGTCTTCCCTTTTCTTGTTTGCACATAATTGTGTTTCAGTCTGTAACCATTGTTGTGTAATCTAACCAGATTCAATCGCCAGTCTGGGATCTCAAAGTATATATTTAATTAAATTTATCAGGGTAGAGTTTTTTTTCCAATGTGGAAGAAATATGGTCCCAGTTGAATCTGTCTTTCTCTTTCTCTTAGTGACTGTGTGCATGAACTGCTGGGCCACGTCCCCATGCTGGCCGACCGCACCTTTGCCCAGTTTTCACAGGTAAATGGGAGGAGGGCCTAGCAGACTTATTTCCCATGCTGTGTGTGTATGTTTTGGTAAAAATGTATTGGTTATTTGCTGCAGAACCTTGGTCTGGCATCACTTGGGGCTTCAGATGAAGATATTGAGAAACTATCCACAGTAAGACACTCGTCCTCCAACACTGACAGAATTTAGGAACTGTATTAAAATGGTTGAGGGGGAGAGAGGGAAAACAAAAAACACTTTTGTACAGTCCCTTATCCCTTATCTAAATAACATCCAAATATTATAAATAATGAATTGATTGTCCACCCTAATATCCTTCTTTTTCTCTGTCACTCTCTTTCTGTTTTTCCCATCAGTTGTACTGGTTCACTGTCGAGTATGGCTTATGTAAACAGAATGGGGAGGTGAGGGCTTACGGAGCTGGACTGCTCTCCTCTTATGGAGAGCTTGTGGTGCGTTCCTCCATGTTTTCTCTGCTTGAAAATTAAATCTTTCCCTGATTGAAAAACAAAAAATGCAACAATCACAGCCAACTGAGCTGTCAGCTAAGTCTCCATCTTTTTCCTATAACTTTTAATCCAGCACTCACTGTCTGATGAACCAGAGACAAGGCAGTTCGAACCAGAGGCTGCAGCAGTGCAGCCTTATCAAGACCAGACGTACCAGCCCGTCTACTTTGTTTCTGAGAGTTTTTCAGATGCCAAGGAGAAATTCAGGTACTGAACCACACCATGTTTTCTTGTTTGGACCGGCATGTAAACACACAAGAACACACAGAGACAAAGAGAAGAAGAAAAACAGCAAAAAGAGAGAGGGGGTTATGTAAGGACAAGGTCAGAGAACAGCCAGTCAACCCCTGAGGGCACAGAGTGTTGTAGGTCAGCCATAGCAGCCAGGAGACAGCTGTTACTAATGTAGTGTTTCTTACCAGGGCAAAACGCTGGAGTTTTAGTTGGCAAACAGATCAAATGTTGCCTTGTAAAACAAGTAGTGTAAGTGAGTGTTTTGACAGCATTTGGTCTCTAGTAGAGTACAGCACATGACATCCCTGCCACGCTAGATGAGAAAATATCAACATGGGAATGATTATAAAAGCGTGGTAAATATGAAACAGAGCATATTATAAATCTGTGGGTAGTGAACGTCTTAATGTTGTGCTGATACAAGCAGGATATGCTAGGATTACGCGTATACATAAACAACAGGACACACTACAACTGGGTGAATGTTTTCTGGTCAATAAAAAGGTTGGTTTCCACTAGACGAGTGATATATTTGGGTTTTAAATTCTCAGGAGGGCCAGCTGTAATGTATTCGCTCATGAAGAGCTTAAAGATGACTTTGACTTGTTTAGGTCTCACTTTGCTGTTTTTAAATCTTTGACAAGGGGGTACGTGGCCGGTATCAAGCGTCCCTTCTCTGTGAAGTTTGACCCGTACACCAGCAGCGTTGAGGTGCTGGACAACCCGCTGAAGATCCAAGGAGGCCTGGAGGGTGTGAAGGACGACCTTAAGATACTGACGGATGCCCTCAGTGTTTTGTCATGATGACGCCTCTGTCTGCGACTGCCCTGCTGTTGTCTGCTTCCTCTCCGCTGAGACTTCTGACGTGTGATCAAGACCAATGTGTTCATATTTCTGTGCTGTACCTCCAGTATGATGCTGTTTCTGATGAGTTGGTGTTTTGCCGTCGCTGGCTAGTTGGCCGACAAGGTTGCAACCATTAAAACCTCAATACGCAGTGCAGGCAAAGTTTCCAAAGATGTTAAACGTCTCGCTGGGTGAAATTATTGGGTTTTACAGGCTGGGCCATTCATGCTTTTAAAGCAACATGTGATATAATGAATGTATTTAAAGAAAACTAAATGAAAAAAAGAAAGAAACATAATGGTAAAATATAGATTCAAATGTCTATTTAGATTATATTTATTTTATTTAGAAAGATCTGTTGTGTTAAAGGCTTTATTTTCCATATATGCGATATCAGTATTTGAGTATTGGTCTACTTCTAAATGTGTTGATTTGTCTGGTTTTATGCTGTTTTGTCTTGCACGTTATATGCATACTAAAATAAATATCAAAACATACTTTCCATTTAATGTACTGTTGATTACTGCTCGAGTAAAAATATTCGATCAAACAAATTAACATTTTGCTGTCATGTTTACATATTTTATAAAGGTTATAGTCCTTCAAGTCCTTCAACGTTATATATACATAGTTTACACATATTCCTTGATAATCTGTTCATCTCTCATGCTTCAGACTAACATTTAATAGTGCTGAGCTACATCATAGTTGACGTTTGACTGCCACAAGAGGGGGCAGTCCAGCAGGGTGTACCTGCCTGCAGAGATGCCCTCCCAACTTCTGGAAGCTACAAGACAAACAAACAGATGTTCACTACGCGGACCACTAGGTGTCAGTCTAAGGCTGAAGACATGTCCAGCTCCTTACCTTCTGCAGAAGCCACACTTATATAAGGGAACCCTCAAACTGTTTTAAAAAGAAGGAAACTTTCTCATACGTAAAATTACAATTATGTAGCTCGATGAGGGCTATGCCGCCACTCTGTCTTGGAGCATATGTGCAACATCTGGATGGACCTTTTTCTGCTGGACATTTAACATGCGAGTGACGCATTGATTGACATTTGTTTTGTTAATACCATGTTTTTGTTTGTGAAGCATCATATGTTTTCTTCAGAATTCACAGTGACCAAAGACGTTGACACTACTGCATCAGTCAGTGTCACAGCTGCTGCATCCTCCTCCTGCCTTCAGCTAGGATAAACTGACTAATCAACCTTCACTCAAACACATTCGACCCCGGTGAATAAAGTCTACATTTACACCTGAGTCAGAGGAAAGCCGCAGACCCTGGCCACAAGGCTTCAACTCTGAATGTTAATCTTAATTACAGCAGGGTGGAGGCATTGACATTTTCCTTGGAGTCTGAGGAATTACGTCTATTCTTGTTCAGTCTGCGTCCTGTGTGTAAACATTGTGATTGTAGGTTACAGTGCGTAAACGTGGAAAATGCCTATGGAATTGTTCCATATTTTGTAACTCTCACTCTCTCCCTCTCTTTCTGCTTTTGATTTTTCTCCCTTTAAGCACTTTTCCATAAAACGTCTCTGGACCATTTTTTTTTTTTTACCAGTGGTGAAGAGGAGGAGCAAGGGGTGGGGTGGGTGTAAGGGGCGTGTTTTGGTATATAATACTTCTCCCTGAGAAGTTTTGCCTGTCGCCTGGTCTTTGGGACAGCCTCTCACACATCATCTCTATTGCCGCAGCAAATGGGAAACTAACTCACCTGCAATCTCATCAACCAAATAACCCACAACATTTTGACTACTGCCAACTGACATGGAGACCCAGAAAAGACACGGACACCACTCACTTTGCCACACCTGCCGGAGAACAGAGATCAGCCGAATGAAGGTAACCATAGGGAACAACTAGTTGTATACTCTCCGGTTGTTCTGCCCGGGTATTGAAAAACATCAGACTAGGTTATAACCGTGTTTTGTTGGCTTAATTAAGAAAAGCGCCTCGGGTTGACCAGATGCATTGATCACATCATTTTTTTGTGCAATATGAGCAACCGGACATCTCTTAATTTGCATGCAACAAAGAAAGTTCAAAAATGCAAGAATGACATGGAGTGCGCCTAAAGCTTTGAAGCATTTGTGCAACAGGTTGCCTGCCAGGATAGAAGAAAAAATGAGTTGAGAGATATTTTATTCTTCTCTCGTCTGGATGGTACGCCGTTTCTGGACTCGGAGCAAACAGCTGGTATATTTGTCGGTAGATAGGGGGCGGTAGTTCTGAGGGTCAGTGAGCTCACCAAAGGGTGAGCAAGGGGAAAATATATGCTGAGTCTGGCTTTTCAGATAGTTAACTATTGAGCAGCCGGTCTTGCAACTTCTGGGGACTTGTGTAAGAGTGTGAACGAGAGAGATACTGTCTACTTTTTTCTCCAGAATAAGCAATTCTCTCAGGTGCAACACAGTAACATTGGCTGGTAATAGTTCCAGGGGGAGGGGGATACACATTTTTCATAATTTGTCGCACGCAATGGGCTTTTTCTGAGTTAGTAGGTCAATACATAGGGGGGGGGGGGGAGCATTCAACACTGGAAGTCTTAAATCTTTTACACGCATCCAAATGTGAACGTGTGAAGAGTGGATCCTGTTAAATCACCCTGAAAGGCAACATCTGGCTGTCAGCTGAGATTTTTTTGGTATGTCATCACTTCTTAAATGTGTGGTCGCATTTGTTGGTCCAGTGATTTATTCTTCAATGCGTGTGTGTGTGTGTGTGTGTTTTCTGCAGGTCAAGAAGATGTCTTCGTCCAGTCGCGCGCTGCTGTTTGCACTGGCCCTCGCGCTCTACGTTGTGGAAATAGCCTCGGCAGAGACGCTGTGTGGGGGAGAGCTGGTGGACGCGCTGCAGTTTGTCTGTGAAGACAGAGGCTTCTATTTCAGTAGGTTTCAAACCAGCACAAGTTTGCACAATGGGCTGCACAGACGCAGTTTCGCTTTTTTATGTCCCTCTGTTGAGTCTCCCTGTTGTTCGTTCGCACACATCTGTTTGGATAGCTGAGGCTATCGCTCTGTCTGTGGCTATGTGGTGCATGTTTGGTATTTTTCCTTCTCATGCACTCGGCACACGCGCACACACACACTCACTGACTGAGAGCCAGAAGAGAGAGAGAGAAACTGTGTGTGTGTGTGTGTGTGTGTGTGTGTCTCAAGACCTCGTCTGGGCTGCTCTGCTGAGTGTGTGCATTCTGCCGACAGCGCTTACCTCTCATTGCATATAAAAGGAACGGCACGGCGAGCTGTGAAGGCACACACGACGCAGCGCGACACAATGGGCCGCTTGTTTACCAGTAAAGTAATGGCACCCCAAGAGGCATACCAGTCACCTCAGCACCAGTGTTCCCAGGCCAGGCAAACACACTGATGATTGGTGTGGGTGGGGGGGGGGGGGGGGGGGGGGGGGGGGGG